ACTACACTAACGAACGTACCTACCCTTTAACTTAACTAAACTAAACGTAAATTAAATTAAAACTAAAAAGTAAATAAAAGTAAAACAAACTAAAACTAACACTACCACCTCTCTCTCTCTCTCTCTCTCTCTCTCTCTCTCTCTCTCTCTCTCCTTTCTATCTTCCACATTTTTTTCTCTTTAATCTCATGTAAATATTGCACTTTCTTAATCCAATGTGAGCCCCTTTAAAAAATCTCTCTACACCAACCAAATCCCATAAATATAGAAAACTCCTCTTACCTCCCCCATGTCTCTCTTGTAACCACCAAGATGTATCCTTCTATTTTAATAAAATAAACTCTCCAATTCTACCCTTGAGATCTCTACAACCATAAAAGACAAAAATAACCCTAAGCCTAAAAAAAATCTAAGAAAAAAAATTAAATAAGTCATTGCATCATTTCTCAGGGGTTGGGAGAAGCCCGACCTCAAGGTTGAAGATTTAAGCTCCTCTGAGAGTCTTCCAATAGTTGGTGATGCAGGTGGCAGGCCTACCATTAGTATGGATGCTTTTTCTTCAATGAAACAATTCATCAAACACTTGATATTCAGCTTGTAATGGGCCTCTGAAGTACCCAACTTGATCTTCATTCGTCCTTCAATCTCAAATGAGCAGTATCTCACATATCGCAACTAGCGTATCTTCTTCTTCATAATTTCTACATCTTTTGCACTGAGATTTACCTCTTCATGTTCTTCCTCCTGTTGTTGCAATCTACTAAATAGATCTTGTAGGCATATCAGGTCTTCTATGATTCTCTCTCTTTCTTAGTCCAACGTGATCCCCCTTGAAAAACCTCTCTATACCAACTAAATCCCACAAATATAGAAGATTCCTTTTAACTCTCCCATATATCTCGTGTAAAGACAAATTATCTTCCTATATTAAAATAAAATAAGCTTTCCAATTCTAACCTTGCAATCTCCACAACCATAAAAGACAAAAACAACCCTAAGCCTAAAAAAATCTAAAAAGAAAAAGATAAATAAAAAATTAAAAAGAAAAACAAGTCATTGCATCATAGTACAGATGACAACAACAATGACCCAAGCGTTTGGTATACGAAGAGGCTATTAGTTCTCTGTGTAGCTCATGATCTCGGCTTGGAGGGAAGATGCGTCATGCCCCATTGGCCTTCATGACGAATATTGCAACTAATGAACAATTGTTTGTCTTTTGTATTTTGTGCTATGGAACATTGTAAGTGTGTCATCAGACATGGCTCTAAGCAACACCCTTGATTTTGTAGAATCAGAATATAACATATGCACTAATCATATGCATGGCACAAGTATTATTTAAAGTAGATAAAGCGACTCATATATACAAATCTTTTCATAAATAAAGAAAGATACATGTGCTTAAATAAAACGAAGCATGCTTAGTGAGTTTTATTGTATCAACCTTAAAACTTTGCAATGGTGATAACAAATAAGAACATATCCTATTCTGAACTTTTCAGAGTTCTTTCTACTTTTCAGGTTTTAGGGTCTTTTTTTCTCTTCCTTTTTTTCTTCTTTTTCTTTTTAATCTGTTGACTATTGTACTAATAGAGTAAAAGCATTTACAAGAACATTC